GCCCCTTTTTCCTACCACCACCTGGAGTATGAGCTGTCTATCCTGCCGCCATACCAAGCACAACAAAAGGGAACAGAGTACTCTGTTAGGATGCTTCCAGAAATGAGCAAAACAAAAGGGCTAAAGTCATCTTAACTCTTATTTAGTGGCGAGTGCATATTGTCAGTGGTGTGTCAGCTAGCACTGGGGAGCAAAATAAAACATCCATATACCTGGAGCCAAACTGGCCACCTGGTTTACTGGGGAGCTGATGATGAAGAAACAAGGGGGACATACGTAGATTTGAGTGACAATGGTGGAAAACCCGGAGCGAATCTGATCAAACACAAGGTAGGGCCCATTGGAAGGCCTATTCCATAGCAATAGATGTGGCAAAGAAGCCTTTCTTCTCTGCCACCATTGCGTCTGCAAAGAATTGCCCAGCAGAGCTTTTTTTGAGTCATCAAGGGCCTGTTACATGTTGGCCCCCCAGGAAGGTCATGCAGGCCACACTGCAGCACGCTGTGAAGAATTTGCACACCACTTTGCAGTCAAAATTGCTCAGATCCACTCTGACTTGGATGCTTAGTTGATTCAGGCCCTGTGAAGGTAACGATGGCCCCTGCTTGCCCTGTGTTCATGGTCGAGTTTTAGTTTCTGCAGCCCAATGACGTGGGTCAGGGCCCCTGGGGAGGTGAGGGCTACCAGGTGTCTTGCTGGATCCTTGCCTTTCCTGGCTTGTAAAAGCTGTGAGAAAGGGACTGTCTGCATGGGTTGGAGGAGTGGCGAATGCCTCTTTGCCACAAGGTAGGAGGATCTCATTCTGCTTACAAGAGGCAATAATAGGACCATCATTTTTTAAAAAGCCCTTTGGATCCCACAGTAACTAATAGTCCATTCTTGGGGAAGGTGCTAGAGTGGGTTGTGGCCTCTCAGCTCCAGAGGTTCCTAGCGGAGATAAATTTAGACTAATTTCAATCGGGCTTCTGTCCCGATTATGGGGCAGAGACTTCTTTGGTCGCCTTACTGGATTATCTATGCTGGGAACTGGATAGGGGATCTGTTTCCCTGCTGGTTTTGCTTGACCTCTCAGTGGCTTTCGATACTATTGACCAACCTCTCAGTGGTTTTCGATACTATTGACCATAGCATCCTCCTGAGCTGGTCCCCCTGAAATGGAACTTGGGGTCACTGTTCAAGGCCTTCCTGGAGGGGACAACTCAGGTGGTGGTGCTGGAGGATTCCTGTTCGAAGCCCTGGCCACTGACCTGTGGGGTCCCTCATGGTTCTCTTTTTGTCTCCTATGGTATTTAACATCTACATAAAACAGTTGGGAGAGACTTTCCAGAGTTTTGGTGCTCAGGGTCACCAGTATGCGGATGGCACCCAACTCTCCTTGCTGCCTAAATCTAAGCAAGTTGTTTTGGCTCTAAATCAGTGGGAAATAAGGATTTGGACCTTGGAACTAATGGAAAAACTGACAGCACATTTCCAAATAAATAGACAACAACATCAGTAATTTCATGTGGTATCCCTTTATTCAATATAATGGCAACAAGTATACATTGCATTCCCGTCTTTTCAGCTGTGTTGACCTGTGGAAAGACATTAAGCTTGAAGACTGAAGACATTACCCTGAAAATCCCTCTCCTCTAAGAAGACTGACATTACCCTGAAAATCCCTCTCCTCTAAAATCATAATGGTTTATCCTGTTATGTACTTAAATGCTGATTATTTTGCTGTTTAACATAACTGTTGACCTACCCCAATTTTGTTTGCACTTGAATATCATTCATTAAATTTACTTTAAAAAGCTCTTATGGGCAATTTGAATAAAATGTTAACAGCCTTTGAAATTTCCTTGGGCTCTATTAAAAGTTGCATATTTCCATTTTTGACTTAAAGATTAGGTTTAAAAGGGTATCATAGAACCCTAAAATACTGGAGCTGGATGGGGACTGTAAGGCCATCAGATCCAACCCCTTCCTCAATGCAGGAGGAATCCAAATCACAGCAGATGAGATGGTTGTGTAATTTTCTCTTGAATGCCTCCAATCTAATCAGTACTATGTTTGATTCCACCTTCTTCATATGAACTAGTTTAAATGCAATGCATCATAAATACACCAGTATAACTAGAAAGGAAAAAAATCATAGCTAGATATGGAATAACGATTGTTGCTGAAAATGTTACAGCTGGAAATAAATACTTTCCTAGTAGGAGGTATCTTGTGTTAGGTTTATTATAAGTAACAGTCAGCTGCTTAAAAGTTGAATGAGCTGATTCTAAGCATGTACAGTACAGAGGGAGCTGTGGAAATTTAGAATAGACCACTGGAATTGACAGGACTTGTTGACCACAACTTAGAGGCCCCACTGATTTCATTTGGTCTAATGAGATTTGGACTAACATTGTGTCCCCTAGGGTCTGTACACGAAGCAGCAAAAACAGGTACTCCCTGCTCTTAGTAGAATCAGTGTCTCTATTTCAAAGGTGGAGAAAATGCCAGCATGAACTAAAAAAGTTTGGGGATTTTAGTCCTTTACAGACTGTATCTGATAGGGGGCAACAGTATTCTGCTCATTAAGTGAGAGGTCTTACATACTGCTCACAGACAGAAACTGGACTAATTATTTTTAACTAATTAGACTAATCTAACCCAATATGGCTACTTAACATAATTAGGCCGGAATGAGTTTATAAAAGACTGTAGCCAAGTGAAGGAAGAGCTGCGGAGAAGGTAAATGAAATCCTACACCTGCACCCAACCCCTCAAACATTATTTGGGTTGGGAGTTACATCTACTTCGTCCTTTAGATTTTCGTCCCCGACCCTAATTTTTGAGAATGGTTGAATACACTGCAATCATAATTTACAAGTTAATCAAAAACAGCAGGTAATCTCATGTCAGAAAGTTGGAGAAAGTTGTTTTTGAACTTTCTAAGCTCGTAGTACTCACAGGAGATGTGAGCTGCCAAAGTGGTATAGTGGACAGGGCAATGGAGTAGGCCTAGGACTTAGGAGACCTGGACTCACATTTCCCATCAGTCGTGCAAACCCATAGGGGGAGCAGCACTGGAAAAACTACTTCTTAAATCTCTCAAACACCTTGAAAACCCTAGTAAGGTCACCATAAGCCACATATGGCTGGTTGGCACATAGCAATAACATATGTGATGCCACACTTAGGACTCACCTATTTGGCAACTTATGTGTAACCAAAGGCCCATCACAGATGTAAGGATCAGCTGTTAGGGGATTAACACCTTGTCTTTTGCTTCTAGTTACAAAATGGTCACTTGGGTCTGTACATGAAGAAACCTTTGGTTCTATGAGTCACTCACTTTTGGTTATTTTTTTGCAAATGTTTTATGTAGTTGTTGCCATTTACCTTTTTTTTCAAAAACTTGTCATGTAGAAGAACATGCATGTTATGAGGCGAATATGCATGTTATGAGGCGAGAAAGAATATTCAGAAATAAAATAAGCTTTTTCTTAGTGATCTATAAGTAAATACTAAGTCCACAGCTATTGTTAACTATTTTTGAACTCTTATTTCAAATTCTGGCCCAGCACAGTAGATTAATGTTATTTGGTGCAGGTTTAAAAACAGCTCATTTTAATTAGGAGCAGACATTGAGAAACATTAACACACAGGTGATTCCACGGTGTTTTAACCTCCATTAAAAAGTCTGGTAGTATTATGTCTAGAACAGCTGTTGCTGACCCTACAACTGTGATAATAGATACTGATGCAAGCAGAGACAGATTTACCATGAAACACAGATCCGCAGAGGGCAATGTGAAAGGCAGCAATAATACTGTGAGCATTTTATCTGTAGAGACACAAAGGAAGGTGGCAGTCTCTGCATTTCAATTTAAAAGGCAAAGGTTAGCCATGACTGCTGGAGGTGCTGGCCTGAGACTTCACAGCAACTTGTGTAAGTTCCTCAGCCAGTTTAAATGCCATAGAGATCAAGAATTTGTTTTCAGAACAACTCTAAGACTAGCTGCTATTTTGCAGATTGATACTAATAACTGAGTCAACAAAAACATAATGGACAGAAACTTTGTTCAAAGCTACTGAACAAGTTAATGGTTAAAAAGAACCTGGAGAGAGGAATTTAAAGCCACCATATTGATACAGTAATCTGAAGTACCGTATTTTTCCACGTATAAAATGACACTTTTCACTAAAATAATTAGAGGAAAAAATTTAGGGTCGTTTTGTACATGGTAGTGGAGGGGAGGGATCAAAGTGCTTTGATCTCTGCTTTTCCCAGAGGAATAATGTAGGGTTGTTTTGTACATGATAGTGTACAAACCGACATGATAGCTTTGATCTCTGCTTTTCCCCTCCACTTTTTGCAAAGAAAGAGGAGGAAAGCTCTTTCCTCAGAAGAAAGTGGAGGGGGAAAGCAGGAATCACTGCTGTCAGCACACATCTCTTTGTAATATGTACATCTAGATGAATTTAAAAGTCAAGCAGCTTTTAAGAATTCAGACTTTGCTGGTGATATTGAGCTTCAAAAGACAATCAGAATGTCATTCTTTTATTTGAAAATTTATTTAAAAATGCAATACAAGTAGCAAGATTGAACACGTCTAAATGCTACAACTATTTTCCCTTTGACTACAAAAATTCAAAATAACAGCTACATAAGCTATAAAGATTTGCTAATTTTTATCTGTTCCTATTTTTAAAGAAAGAAGTAATTTGCTATTCTATACAATTCACCACTGTCTTAAAGTTTTTTTACAAAGCTCCTTCAAATCTGCAGTGAAATAATTTTCCATTGAGTGTGTAAAAAACAAAAATCTCATAGTCATAACATAAAATTCAATTACCCATTGTTTGAAAATGGCAAATCACATTTTATGAACACCCCGCCCCCAACCCTTGCTCAAATAAAACCCTTGATTTATTCTTATTTTAATTATTGGCAAGTGAAGTTTTTTTTTCCTTTCCAGTTCGGCCAGCAGGGTAACCATAATGCTGTCCTTCCATCTGTACACACATTCACACATAAATAATTTCTATTTATTATACAGTTAAGACAGCTTCTGAATGATTTCATAGACGGGGGAAGGAAGTAACTGAGAACATGCTGCCATCTCAAGCACTGGAGCCCCCCCAATGTACTGAGAATGCTAGATGTCCAGGCTGCTTAATGGAGCGATACTAGATGTTAGAGTACAAGCACCACACTGCAGTCTCTCATGCACAAGAAATGGCAGTTCCAGATGGTAATGGTAGACTGTTTAGAACAGGAATGAGCAACGCTGAGCTCTCCAAATGTTGATGGACTGCAGTTCCATCAGCCAAGCCCAGAGAAGCAAAGGCAAGGAATGCTGGGAGCTACAATGCAACAGCATCTGGAGGGCTGTCCTCTGCCTATCTCCGATTTAGCAGGATGTAACCCAGACATCTTAGAATTAGAACTGATTTTCACATCACCTGCTGTGAAAAGCTCAGCAAACAAATTCTATAAGAAATTACTAACCCCACATCTTCACTCCACTTGCTTTATTATGCATACCTAATGCTACCCACTTGTAGTAAATAAACAACCCGAAAGTCAGGTATTATACAGCCTGGCACCAGAAACACATCAAGAGGACAGCACCCAGACCTGTCCCACTGTAGCTCCATTCTTCACAGTTTCAGCATTAGGTCTGAAAATGAGAAGGGTCCTGCACATGTATAAACTCTATGAATGAGCAAGAACTCTTTAAGAAATCTGTGCTTTGACTTACTTTTTTAAAGTAAATTTCCAGCCCTTGCTGCTTCAAAGTGAAGTTTAAAGGTATTGGGGGTTCTGGAGAAACCTAGAAGCTGGAAGAATTGTTGAACTGGATTGTCAAAGGAGGAAGGGACTACAGTTTGTTATGTAACGGCTGAAATACTGTTGCTCAGCATAGTAAGTCACACTACAGTAGGCCCACTGAGTCAGTGGGGACTTGATGAGTCAACTCCTATGTAAATTCCATTGATTCAAATGGGCCAACTTTAGTTGCAACTTACTAAACTGAACTAAGTTGCAAGTAGAATAGCACATTTGACTCAATGGAGATGGAGTTGAAGCACCAAATTGCTACTGATTCAGTGGGCTATTCTAGTGTGTCATATTATGGTAAGCAATAGGATTTCAGCCACAATCTTCTTCTCCTTTATAACTATCAGAATCAAAATAACATGATTTAACTCGGAAAAATCTGAAAAAAAAAGTTACACAGAAGTCTTACAAGCCAGCTTCACTTATATGAATCAAAGAGCAAATAATGTACAGAATAGTTTTTCTTGCCAAGTAATTCATTTACTTTGAGTCAGAAAAAAATGAACCTAAAGGAACTTGGCATGGAAAGCCCACTTTCAATTAGACAAAGCAAGACTAACATTTACTATCTAATCTTGTTAGTCCTAAATGCCTACATTTGCCAACATGATCTCTGACAAGTAAATAACAATAAAATGAAATGCAAGGCAAAAATGGGATAACTGTCAATTATATTCCCAGTATGTCCCGTGCTGATGCATCCTACATCTGGGGCATGACTACATTATTATTATTATTTTTGTCCTTCTAGGGCGATTTCTCTCACCATCTATGCACACATGATTCCTTCCCTTGAGATCTTGAACTATTTTTGAGATTAGGTTACTTTTTAAACTGGTGCTAAATACAGTTAGGTATACATTTTCGTGTTTGTGCAAAAGCAGCAAAAACAGGACAGGAAGTGAAAATAGCTGATTGTGGGAAATCTTAATTATTTCCCCCCAACACAAACACATCACCAAAGGGGAAGAGATACGTTACCAATGTTTAGATAGCTACATGGTTAGATATGGATACCAAAAGGAGCAGGGCACAAGACTATAAGAGAAAACAAATGGGTGGAACAAGGGCCAGAACAACCTAGGATGCAAATCTCTAAATATATCTCGAAAAGCTAAATAAGGGACTCACATTTCATGACAAAATGACTAGAGATGTTGAACAGAACAGAACAGACAACACCATCTAGCAATCCATAGTGCAGGGAAAGGTACAAATCATGCCGGGCAACAGCTAGTGAAAAGGCATGACATAACCTTAAGGAATATATTTAAAAGCAATGGTTCCCGTAAATAAAAGCGTAACAGTGCTGCATCTACAGTAGGATCTAACCTTTAAAAAGGATGCCTTCATTAGAATTATGAACTTCTTTCCAGAAGTCTTTTGAAAATATAGCCTCATCTTTTTATTGTTCTTTCAAGACTGGTGCTTTAAGCTTTTTGTGTCAAAGAGTAAAACCCTGCAGAAGTACAAAGACTCAGTACTAAAGAAAGTCATACTCAAAATTGTCTTTCATAATAAATAAATAATTTTAAGTGCTATGGACTGCCTTTTAAAAAAGGTTCGGCCTAAGATTCTCAGGATGTCTCTCTATGACTTTAATTTGTAGAAGCAAGGGGGGGGGCTATAGAAACCCTCTGAGTTGCATTTAGTCTAATCCTATGCTTATTTGTAAGCAAGTCCCAGTGTTTCCTGATGGGCTTTACTCCAAAGCACTGGATGGCAGCTTAAGCTTGCTGCGGCTGACAGTGCCCGAATGCACCCCGGCGCAAAGCCGATCAAGTGGTCTTGAATTCTTCTTCCCCACAATTTTTCCAGCTCTATTTTTTTCCACACTGACTCCCTAATTAAAATGCACTTGAATCTGAAACAAAGTTACATGCAATATGACAACATAGATTAAAGATTGCCAGTCAAAGAGAGATCATGTTCACATTACTTAAATTCATTTAACAATGTGTGTATTTATAATCTTTTAACTTAAAATAGCATAACCCATTCTATTCCACTTTTCATATGCTAGAATCTTGTGGCATGCTCAACATTATTTCAACTTCATACTTCTCTCAGAAATAGCTTTCAGAACAAAACAGAACGTTCACAATAAAACTTCCGTGTGCTGCTGGAAGGAAACATCAGATTCACTGATTTTACTTTTGGCAGTGAGGCTGATTTTATTCACAAACTGCATGTTCAACATCAATCTGGAATGCCATTAGTTATCATGTAAGTGGCAAAAATGTTTATAAGGGGTACTATTTTCAATAAAAGTATCCCTATTGCTTATCCTTTGCATGAGTTCATTAAAAGTGTAATTTTAAAAAAATGATATGCAAGTTCTAAAAAGTTTTCCATGCCCCATCTACAGAACTAACAATTGCTGCTCTTGATCAGATTATTGTTATTTTTTGCTACGTTTTGCTACAATGCAACATTTTCCAAAGAAGGTGCTGAAAACTACACCCAACCTTGAGTTCTGTTGTTTCATTCCAGCATGGCACTGAAGGAGCAATGGACTAAAGGACTGCTGCTTTTCACCCCCCCTCCATTCATTTTGCTAGGGTTTCGTAGGGACACAATCCCACTGAAATGAAGGAGGGAGGCACAGCAGCAGTGCACTCTACAGTCTGCACCCAAGAAAAACTAATAAGACTATTATTATGACTTGCAAGGAATATTATATGATAGGAACAAGTAGAGTCACTCTCCACAAGGTCTATTTTTGAAACAGCAATCAATGGTAACAACCTACATATTGGAAAATGTCTTTGAAACTGTCTGCTTAAAAAGTACTGGCTAACAACACTGGACTGTCTCTGAAGGATGATTGAGACTCATAGAATTGCTCTGATATGTTGCCAGTTGCCAAGTTAAACAGTGCTTAGAATATCCAGCATGATTTTAAAACTATGCTATCAAAAATTGAAACTCAAAATACAAATGACTAGGGGGAAAACTATTGCCAATTATGGCCTACTTCATAGCACTCAAGAGTTAATTCCCTCTTTAAACACACAGTTCTAGCAGGCTTAATTTAATGGAGGAAAAGGAAAAAAATGGCAGATGGAGTTGATAAGAGATGTAGTATTCCAAAGAGTGTAAAAAAGAAAAAGGAACAGGATAGAGAGGGAGTGGAGAAAGACAAGATGCCCTGTCACTGTTCATTTAAAGGATTTAGAATTGATAATACAAAAGGTGAAATAACATCCATTGTTCCAGAACCTAAACAACTACTGAAATACTTCTGCAGGTACCACAATCTCCTGCTAGGTTCAAGCCTCTAGTGGCGGATAAATCCACAAAAGGAAAGTCCAGAGGCAAGGAGGGTGACACAGCTGTGCCTGTCTCACTTGGGAAAAAAGTTGTGGTTGGGAAGCTGTGGACTTATTTCAGATTCATCACAAGAGGCAAGTCAAACATTGCATAACGCGATTTTCTGACTTTTCTTGTAGGAAGAAAAGTTAATGATAAGAGCCTCAACTAGGTCATTGACACCACCACACTATATAATGTGTTCAAAGGGTATATGGGAATGCAAGAGAAGGAGGAAAAGGAGAAAGAGGAAGTTGGAGGACAATGCAGTTTAAAAGGCAACCACTTTCAGTAAGCCCTACATGTTATTTTTGCATGGGCCTTTGACATCATAATACAGATCCAGAAAAAGTGGTGGGAAAGAGAATGCAAAAGAAAGAAAGAAAGAAAGAACCTGTAAAAAATTATTTCAGTACTGTGAAAATTATGGCATACTGTCAGTCACATATGTATATAAAAATAATCAAAAAAGGATCCACTGCATTAAGGAGAATCCCACGTAAACATCAAAAAGCACAACTTCCTAGTTATAAGTGATATAATGCTTGACTGAGAGTAACAGTGGCAAGTTTGAGGTCATGGTGCTCCAAGGTAGTTTCCTTGTAGTTTTGCTGGTATATCTTGGGTGGTCTTCACAGACTGAAACAGACATTGCCTAGGAAATATAAATTTATGCTGAGTTACTCAAGCAGCAAAAAAAAAAAAGAGGTCTGAAATTTCGCAACATTTGCAATAAATTGGTGACATAATTTTATAAATGAGACAGGATGCACAAGTAAATGAATAAACATGAGCATGAATGCATATCACTTTCAAAAATGGTAGCAGGTTTATATCTCTGGTACTTAAGGAAATGGAGCAAGGGTACTAATGCTCAGATGAGAATTAATTCAGGTCTATATCATCAAAACCAGCAACGTGTTGAAATATACTGGCAATCCTTCTTACCTTTTGTTTGCACAATGTGCAAGTGCTTAATAATGAATTTTAAAATGTCATCCTGTTTTTCATCACTTGCTTTACATCTTTTGACAGCTGTTTATATATTTTACCATACATACTCTTTTGTAATTACTTTAGACTTGTTAGTTATTTTGAGTGCATAATTGCAGAAAGACAAAGTAAATGTAAAGAAACAAGACTACATGCTTGAAAGAAATAGCTAACTCTCACATCAAACCATCTAAGGACTTACATGTTTATGGGTCATAAAAGGAGAATTCCTCTCCCAGATGATCTGTACAGAGACAGTTCTGCTGTAATAAATTTGCACAGTCCAGGAAAGTTTTCCATGGTTATCTTTCCCACAGGTAACACATACATGGAGCCTCAAATTATTGAACCATAGCACACTCTGTGAGAATATAAGCGGTCTCCCAGTTCCACTACAGCCACTTTATGCATTCAGCTAAAGCTTGGAGTGTATTAATGTAGAAAATCATTAAATCATAGTATCATAGAAAAGTGAATTTGGAAGGGGCCTACAAGGACATCAAGTCCAACCCCAAATATATGTGGGCTCTGAACAGGTAGCAGTTTGGGGGGGAAATTACTTTGTGACTACTGTTCCAGGCTTGAACATGCTGGCTGGGAGATTCTGGGAGCTGTAGTGAAAAAGTAACTTTTCAAAATATAGTAATGCAATTGTATGTGAACTTCCATGGATGATAAAAGTTAAGTAAAATGCCATGTTTCCCTTTAAGTACAATACTTCTAGAAAATGAGCAGGTTTTCCTGGCAAAGAAGGAAGGCAGATGTTCCCAACAATACTGTCCAAATGTTCTTATGCCCTCTTCTCAAGGAAGATTCTTATCTTAATAGTAGAATATGACCTTTAGAGACAGGATAACTCTTATGTTTCTTTTACTTTTTCGCCCCATCGAGCACTAAGATGCAGTTCTGGCCTTAGACATCTTCTGTAACTGATTCCCTTCTAATTCAACCAATGAGTGCAAAGGAAATCTGGTCTGAACTGGAACAGGAATTGCAGAATCTAGAATTAGAGAAATCTAGAATCTCCAAACAAATGTTTATCAGGGACTTGAAATTTTAAAAAATGCATAAGGATTATAGATTATATCAATAGACTCCAGGACATATTGAAAAAGATTAAAGATTCTGGTATTCATTTTGATGAAGGAGTTATGCAATTTTGCATGGTCCTTAGACATATCTGGAAGGAGTCACTGACTTTTTGTGACAAAGACAAGGTGAAATTAAGTTGGAAAGTCTGAGTATAAAGATGAGAGACTTTCATGTTGTCCAAAACAACAATGGAAGTAACGGAGACTCCGTTCTTAATACTTCATCATATAACACTTTAGCTGGCACCGGAGAGACATTCTCTAGTCATTATGCAGCAACAAAGTGCACAGAAACGCAAATATGGGGACCCAAAGCAGGCACGCAGCCAGAGAATCCAAAGTAAACAAAGGAATGCAACCCCCCCAGAAACTAAACAGACAGATACAAGCCTAATTTAAATCAAATGTTATGTGTGTAATAACAAATGTAAATAAAGAATTCAAAAATGTGCATAAATCTTACGAATAGATGGCTGTTATTGATAGTGTGTGTTCAAACATGTATTTCAATAGTCTGGAATATTTTACTGAATTGGACCCTAGGAAATTAGAAATATACACTTCCAGTGGGGAAACATTAACTGTTTGGGGCAAATGAATGGCTAAACTGAGTTGTCTGTTATCAGTTATGTACTGGATTCCTACATATGCTTATTATGTCCCAGTCTTGCAAGATAGTTTGATCCCACATCAGAATGTGCAAAAGAAAGGTTACAGAACAGAGTCTGATGGAGAAGATTCTTTTGTTTTGGACCCAAATGGAAAATGTTTTGCAATGGCCTAATGAAAGAAAGTGTACCATTCAACTTTACAATCATGCTCTACTTCCCAAAGTAATGCAAAGTAATAACAATACCATGATTCAGATGCAAAATAAAAACACTTGTATGAGGAATAAACTTTAAATTATGCAAAGAATCGGAGAACTGTGAAATGTTTACTCAAATCAAAGAAATTAGAAAGAGCTTTAAATTAGCTCAAATGAAAGCCACACAGCACCCTCTAGAGGTAATTCATAGTAATGTTTGATTTCAATCACAGAAAAAGAAATGAAGGTAATTTGTGAAATTTACAGATGAATTCTCACATTATGCCACGATTCATTGAAGTGATGAGGAGTACATTACCAGAGTGAAACATTAGTCTGAGTCCAACCCAAGGTCATTTGAACAGACCTAGTGGTGGCAAATTATGCAAACAGAGAAAAAGAAATCTTTCTGGGGCAGCTAGAAGTAACATACCAGAAAACTGTACTTCTTCCTCCAACACGAAATAATAGGACAGAAAGAAAAAATTGCTTCTTGTTACTAAATATCTGTTAGCAGACGCAGGTCTCCAAAATAAATTCTTAGGAGAAACCATTACGACAGCTGTAGAATAGACGATTCACAAAGGTCACAAAGAAAACACCTTGTACAAGACAGAATGGTTATACACCACACTTGAATCCTCTTAGAGTCTTTGGTAGACATTAGAAGTGAACTGGGATTTTTTTATTTTTTCGCTATCCAGCACAATGTGGTAGATAGAGCAATGGGTTATAGGACTCAGGAGACCTGGGATCACAGCCCTGCTTGGCCATGGAAACTCGGGGAGGTGGTACTGGTAAAACTATTCCTTCACTATCTAACCATCCTTGAAAACCCTATTAGGGTTACTATGAAGTAGGACGCAACCTGTTGCCATATGACAGGAGTCTGGATACTAAAACTGCCAATGTGAGTGTGTATAACGTGGCATACTTTGCTGAAGAAGAAAGGCAGCGTAAAGACGGTTCTGATGTGGAGGGTGGTGCCAATGGTAAAGGAAGCACCATCAGAGAACAAACTTGAAGCCGTTCGGCTGAGGAAGGTGGCTGTGGTGCCTGATGTTGTGCTACTCGATTTGAAGCCTGGAGGATTTTCTCTCGGGAGGAGGTCTGGAGGAGAAGCGGTTGGTTGTGGAGCAAAGACTTCAACAAGTTTTGACAAATGGTGGCACTTCTTGACCATGTGGTAATAATCCAAGCAAAAAAGGCACTGTGGGATCCTGACACTACATTGTGTACTTTTCTTAAAGAACGCTTTTGACGCCATGGTGCAAAGATGTTTAAGTGACGATTGGCACCATGTACAGGTGAGGGCTGAATTAGCAAGCAGATTAATCATCTGCTGTAGAGAAGATCCAAAGAACCATTGATGAGAACAGCAGAAGTCATTCACTGAGGAGTTAGTGCTCTAATTTATTTATTTTATTTATTTATTATTGGATTTTTATCCTGCCCTTCTAGACAGGAGTCTACTCAGGGCGGCTCACAATACAGTGGAGCCCCGCTTGACGATTACCCGGCTTACAAAAGCAAGGCTTTACTAAGGCTTACAAAAGCAAGCCTTAGGTAGACGACGAAATTGCTTGACAACGACGTTTTTGCGATCGCTATAGCGATCACAAAATGATGATTCAAATGGGTTTTTTTTCGCTTTACGACGATCGGTTCCCTGCTTGAGGAACCAATTTTTTGCTTCACGATGATTTTAAAATAGCTGATCGGCGGCTCTCAAAATGGCTCCCCGCTGTTTTGCTGACCTCATTTCGCAAGACAGGGAGCGGAAAATGGCCACCCTACGGAGGATCTTCGCTGCACGATCAGGTATTTCCCCCATTGGAACGCATTGACTTTTTCAATGCATTTCAATGGGGGTTTTTTTGCTTGACGACAATTTTGCTGTACAGCGATTTTGCTGGAATGCATTATTGTCAAGCGGGGCACCACTGCATATTATACACCAAACAGATTTTGTGTATAATATGTCCAAGATGTGAATGAAGTGGTGGACAACAGGATTTTGCCCACTATCTAAAATTAGACATTGCACACAGGTTTCACCCACAATTTGAATTTGTGGTCAGTATATTTTCCACTTCATCACAAAAGAAATTTAGCACAATTGAAAAATTCAGTTCAGTAGTGGGAATCAAAATGGTTAGACTAAGAGTGCAAAATTCAAATGAGTATAAGAGTCATTTTATTACGTACTGTTAATAAATAGCCCATTCAAAATGCAGTGCTTGTAGTTCACATTAACTATTTATGATAACAAAATCCAGGTTTCATGGGGTATTTCAGTTTACCTTAGCATCCATAGCACAAATCTACCGTGGATCATGGGGCAAAAATCTTAGCTTAAGCCCAGGACAGTGCTTTGAGTCTCTTAATTGTATACAAATTAGTTTCATTTGGTCACATTGCAGCTACTGAATTGTGTATAACAGTGTGGGAGCAACTTGTAACAGGCCACAACACTGTGCTTACAGTTTAATGTTGTGTGGACCAAGTCTTATAAACTTTAAAGATTGCATGCCTAGTCTATCTGATGCTCAACCATTTAATGCCTTCATCCAAGAATAACTAACAGTGGGGAACTAAATTTCAAGCTGATCTGAAAACTTACCATATGGTTTATGATGGGGTCTAGTACTAGACTCCCTTCTTGACCGCAGAAACATACTCATTTCTATTGTGGCTGGCGTTTAAAAATGCAATAAAATTCAAATGGATCCTCTGCTCTACCTGTACATTCTTGTTAGAATAGTCAAAATAATTACTACACCCCAACATATTCTGAAAGAACTCTCCTTGCAAAAGCATCCAATAATTAACCACTTGTGTTTATAGCTAACATTACATTCTACTGAACTCTATCAATACAGCGGGGCTAACGGAAACATTACCTGATATATATCAGGTGATTTTGCTGATTATTCTGCAATCTCTGTCTCCTGATGGACAACCACCTTGGTCACAGACATGTCTGGGTGTTGTTCTTTTGCTTCTTTGATGGCCTGTACAAGAACCTGAAAAGATGAAGTATAAAAAACAAGCTCTATTGAATTGTGCAATCACTGCACTTTACTGTAGCTTCACAATCTACTAGGGATGAGACATTTATTTAAAATCAGAACAATAAAGCATGAAAAGAGGTTCTTACTTTGGCTCTTAAGTTCTTTTGCAGACTTCTGAAAGAAATCCTCTTAAATACAAAGATTTGTTTAAACTAAAGAAGAGGATGTGAACATATCATTTTTTTTCCATGTTCACTCTTTTTGCAAAATTTGTCCTTCACTCTAATCGCCTAGGGAATTTTCCCGGAGGTAGATGCCCTACTCTTTCCTTCTGCTCTCCTGGCCCACTGTCACCACCACCACCATGTTCTTTATGGCATATCTTTGACTAGTGCCAGAAAAGCAAAGGGGGGGGGATTAAATTTACTTTTCAGGGTAAATAAGAAGAGCGGTAAACAGAAAAAACAAAAGTGAACAAGACTTCTCCCCCAAAAAGCAAAACAAACAAATATTTCCACTATATATACTTATACTACCTACTAATCTACAAATAATTAACAATGACTCAGAATTCTGAAGTCTTTTAACACCTTCTGCAGTCACCCTGACACATCTATATAATCTAACTGATTTTTCTGTCAAGTTTTATTTTGTCTATACAGTCATGTGATCAGAATAAAACAATTTCCTGATAAATGAAGACCTGCAAACTATAACTAAAGAAGAATTTTTAATTCAGTTTATGACAACAAGGATGTTTGCAGCTTCAAAAAAGAATTAGGAAATTGCCTTCAGAGTTTCTCTATTATTGCATATGAATTCCCAAGCTGTTCCTGAGAAGAACTCCATATTCCTATGCCTTTTGAGCATTTGATCCATGAAATGTCCTGCTAATAAAAAGGCCTAGGAAAAAAGCCTGCAAATAGTAAAAAAAAAAGGAAACTAAATTAAATCTCTTACTTTATCATGATCGATGTCTGCATCTCCTGTGATGACAATTCTTTTCTCAATTCGTGTCTCTGAAATACCACCCTTCACAGTCTGTTATATAAAAGAACAAACATTTGTTTGCAGCTTCAAAAAAGAATTAGGAAATTGCTTCAGAATTTCTCTATTATTGCATATGAATTCCCAAGCTGTTCCTGAGAAGAACTCCATATTCCTATGCCTTTTGAGCATTTGATCCATGACATGAAATGTTAATAAAAAGGCCTAGGAAAAAAGCCTGCAAATAGTAAAAAAAAGGAAACTAAATTAAATCTCTTACTTTATCATGATCGATGTCTGCATCTCCTGTGATGACAATTCTTTTCTCAATTCGTGTCTCTGAAATACCACCCTTCACAGTCTGTTATATAAAAGAACAAACATTAACAGCAGCTCACAATTAAAATATAGACAGCAAAATCACATTTAAATGTGCAGCAATTAACACAGGCACCCAGAGAATTTTGATTATTAATCGCAAAATCATAGAATAATGTAGTTGGAAAAGCTACAAGGCCACCCAACCCCCTGTTCAGTGCAGGAACCCAAAATCAAACTGTCTTTGACAGATTTGCTGTCTAATTTTCTCTTGAATGTATCCAGTGTTGGAGCGCTCACTACTCCTTGAGATAATTGGTTTCATTGTTGTACTGCTCTAACAATTAAGAAGTGTTTCCTGATATCCTGCACTCTGGGAAGAACAGATCCTGCCCCTCCTCTGCATGATGTCGCTCTACGGAACGACCGTTCTGCGAGGCACCACTGTATTTGAAAAGTGCTATCATATCTCCCCTTAAGTCTTCTCTTCTCAGGGCTAAGCATGACCAGTCCTTTTAGTCTTTCTTTATAGGGTTTGGTTTCCAGTTCTCTTATTATCCTTGTTGCCCTCCTATCAACTTGTTCCACTTTGTCTGCATCCTTGTTAAAGTGCCATGTCTGGAACTGGGCACAGTACTCAAGACAAGGTCTAGCCAGTGCTGAATAGAAGGGAACAAGTACTTTTTGGGCTTGGAGACCGTTAATGCAGTCTAAAATATCATTTGCCTTTTTTGTAGCCATATCACACTATTCAGCTTGTGATCTACAACAATTCCAAAATCCTTCTTGCATATAGTATTACTTAGCTAAGTATCCCTAACTTGTAATTGTCATTGTTTTTACTTTTATACTGCCTTTTAGTGCTAAAGCACTCTTTGGGCAGTGTACAACACAAGTATGCAAACAATACTTTGCCACCCCCCCCAACCCCAGTAAGCTGAGTACCCAACCTCAGAAGGATGGAAAGCTAAGTCAACTTTGATCCAGCTACTACAATCCATCAGGACTGAACTCAGGTTGTGAGCAGAGGCTTGACTGCAGTACTGCAGTTTAACCACTGTGCCACGGGGCTCGTGTGCATTTGGTCTCCCCCTCCCCCAGCAGTAGAACTTTTCAATTTTTATAGAGACGACACAAGTAAAACTGATTCCAGTAAAATTAGCTAACATCACAAGTGCCTCTGAAAGAAAAGTCGGCATGAAGCAGTTCATACAGTATTGTTAATACAATATATCTCTATATAATTAAGTGAAAATGCTATCATTAGGTGAAATTGTTTCATTATAAAGTGAAACAGCTTTAAAATAACATCTAATTTTCTATTAATGAGATTGTGCACCGACAGAAATATTTGGCCTGAGAAGTGGAGGGTGTTGTTTGAAGACCTACAATCACATTAAACTGGCATGATTTGTTAAGTTCTTACTATAGTTTATATAGATTATGCTCCTCGATAGGATATTCTTCTGTTCCTCACTATAGACTAAACTAGACTGCCTGTTGAGAGTTGTAGTAAAGCAACATCCAAGGAGTTACTATCTTCTCCAGCCCAGTATTAAGTTCTTAAAAGATGGAATCATAGATGGCTCTTCAGGCTTAAAATTTGTTTAACTATCATTCTATACTAGGTGTTGTGTTTACTAAACACATTATATACTATCATACTGAATTCTGTTTAACCTGAAAGCATTGGTCCTTGTGGGAACCCCATTTATACATGCCACTAGTAGGAATGAGGGCAACATCAGTGTCATTGTGTTATCAGAATAGCTGTTGTCCTGCTCTTTGTCTGCAGGTGAAAATGTAGAGAGACAATCCCTACGCATTTGTATTCTGCACTATAATGCTAAGTGACTGGTGTGTCCAAAGTCTGATTCAAGCACATGGTTTCTGTTAACTAAAATACTAATTTAACATCCATCATGGAACTTGGCTTCACTGTTAGTAAACTGAACTTCTGATGAGTTTTGACTCTTGGCCATTTATAAAAGCTCGACTCTTCTCCTTCAGATTAAGGTAGCTTTAGGCCACCTAAAAATTCCACATACCGCAACTACTTTACAAGATAAAAGTACACAGAGATTTTCTTTCACAGCAGAATATCCATGTATACAAGTGATTTCACCATTGCATTATATAAAATATGCATTTTACAATGTAATCCTTTATTTACTCAGAACTGAACTACAACACAATGAAATGAAGCCTGAAAAAATGTGAAGCTATCATATTTTTTAAATGGGAAATGAATGTACCAATATAGGAGGAAACATGAGAAGATTTTTGAAGACATATTAAAATGTTTTTCTATAATCTATAGTTTCTAACATTAGCAAAACCCAGTTTGTTCCAAATGACATAGTATCAATTAAAGCTTCTACTTGCACAAAGCATTTGGGCTGCAATCCTATGCATATGACTGCAATCCTATGACTGTTCAAATCCTACTGAAGCCAATGGGACTCAAGTTAAATAACTATATATTTTCACACATTTTAGATCAGTTACAGCAGTAAAAACTTTTCCTAAGAAAAATGGTGGCAAAATGCTATCAGAAAATAAAAAGCAAAAATAAACTTCACTAACAGGAATGGAAAAGTCCAATGATCTATTTGCTTTCATGTGTTACAAGTCATCACACTGTATCAAAGGAAGAGTGTTCATTTGTATGTATCTGCCACTCCTGTTTACTAATAACACAATGGTCAAAATCCACTTAGTGTTATGCTGGTATAAGAAAAATTACATCTCACAGCAACAGATTGCTGCTAATTAACAAGTCCCAGTTTGTATTCTTAATTCTCTGCCTGTCAGGCAACTTGCTGTGCGATGAAGAATCCAAATTGGGATTTGTAATTAGTGGCAATTTGACACTGCAAGTTATGCCATTTCCTTTACTTTTTATTTATTTATTTGATTTATACCACTGGGTAAAGCTACACAACACAATTATGGCCTATAGGTTAATTTGGCTTAAGAAGAGTGTAAAAGCTGTGCAAAAGTGTCCAGTCTATGATGTCAAACCTATTTGGAATGGCACCACAAGGAAACAAAGTAGGCTCAATCTATGGGCTTTTTGCATATAATGCCAAATATTCGTGACATTTCATTTAAGCAACATGCTGAATCAGCTTTTAATTACCCACAAAATTCTGTGACTTGGTATTGCAAGTGCCCTCTTTTCATGGCTAGGTTGCTTCTTGGTGATTTCTTCCACTTGATACAGATTTCTAAAATACATCAGACCCTTTTATATGATTTAGTGCAAAAAGAACAAAATGCTGGCACAGACGTGACATTTCTTTTTACACAGCATGCCCTGCTTATATTTGTGGCTTCAAATGAAAGTTGTGTCTTGCGCAATTTTAGCTGATGACATTTTTTCAAAATATCTGCCCATTTATTAGCTTAATGGCACAAGATATCCATGAGTAATTCCCAGGTGTAATGATACCTCTGTGTGAGCCACTCCACCGCCCCCTTCCATAATGAGAAGTTCAGTCTTTGCATGAGAAGGAGCTTTAGTAAAGGGAGACAACAACTTGCACCAAAAGACCTTTACAGAATCGGGTATGGCTTGACCCTGAATAGAAATAAGCCTTGGCAGACTCAGGCCCTGACATACAGCATGTACATGGTCCTTTGCAGACCCAGGACCTTCTGGGCCAATAATTAAAGAGTCCTTAGCAGGCTCAGGCCCCTCCAGGCTGGGCAGAACACAGTTACTGTGAATATGGAGAACATATGGAGAACATCTTGTTACAAGGTACAGAAAGAATCTCAAAATAGTAGGGGAAAAACATCTTCCAGTATCTTGGCCAGTATTTGTCCAAGCTGAAACCTGTATAAAGCATTGGTGGTTCCTGTGTTCCATTGAGAGTACTGATAGAAGAAAGGAAGGAAGGAGATTCAAATTCTACAACTATTCACTGTGTACACTACCAATCCTATTAGAGCAAAATCACTCAACAGAGATCCAAAGAAACTATACTTACACTACTTATTCTCTGACACATAGACAGTGTATCAGTGAACTCATACTTGTTAGCATGATCTTTTTACCTTTGTAATCTGGGTAGTGGTAGTGCTGCTTGTGGTCTCTGAAGTGATGGTCTGGGCAGTTAGCAGAACTCCAGGGTCTAAATCCCCACTGCCATCATCGGTCTGTGGCAGAGATACACAGAAGTATAAATCATCTTCCTTACCAAGAGCAAGTAGGTTGTCTAATTAAGAACTCTACACAGATAAAGTGTAATGAGCCAGAATGCTGCCGTACTAATTTTGTAAGGATTTTCCTACATTCCTTAATACGTTAGTAGCTAGAGCTAGTGTTTGTGCTACCCTCCAACTCTTACACTTGATTCTCAGAATGTTTCAGAGGTTATCCCCCAAAATCTTCTCTTTCTGGATGTAATAATTTGTTGATGAACAAGATAAGCAACCTACTGAGCTAATGTCTGACTCTTCAAAGGCCAAATTTCTGCCACCAGAACCAGCTGGGGGGTTGCACCCTGTGGCTGACATCAAATTTGCTGCTGTGATGGTAACAAAAATTTTAAAATAATCTTAAAAAGAAAAATCCTTTTGTGTTGAAAAATGGAAATACTTTGCATGTGTCCCTTTTTTGCAAGGCTAATTCTGTTCCATGCATATTCTGTACACCTTGTTTATAGTAAAAGCAGTGCTTCTGGAATCTGTTTTTCATCACATCTTGTTTTTTAAAAACAAAATAACTGGCAGAATGGTCATTCTTCAAGGGCACAAAATTAACAAGGAGGGCATGGATTTGAAAGATCTTCATTTTGCCATGCTCTGTTACCACACAGAAAAGCCAAAGCAAGGAAAAGTTTGCACATTCAGAGATGGCCAAGGGGAGGAAACAATATTTGTTTACAAACTTCACTATGTAAATATTTGTGCTCTGACCTGCCCTGTCTGCTCAAACAGAACTGTGATTCTGAGGCACATGAGATCACCTAAAAGAAGGAAATCTCTACCTGCATAACTGCCCAAAATTTAACATCAAGGTCTTTTCCTGTCAGCCTGCATCACCCAAAAATGGCTGAGATCCATTGTGCTAAACCCTGAAGGACTACTGCTCTTTAGGAAGCAATAGATCTTCAGGTCCAAGGAAAAAGTTATCAGGACAAAAGACAACCTTGCGAGGGAGCAAAATGGCTGGTAAACTATCAATATTATCGTCTCCATTCCATGTTTACTGAAACACATCCATTAATTATTCCTAGTGTGAATCTTATAAAATCTGAAGTACAAGGTTGTGTGCCTGATCAGGCCATTTGTCTATGTTAGGGGGCTCTTTATTAAGAGGAGGCAAAGGAATTGGTATATGAAGAGGTGGTAAGAGGGCAGTGGACTAGGGCTGTCCAGGCCACAGTGAGATCAACATGTAATTTGTTGCCTCTTTCTGAATTTTGACCGGTGTTATGGGAATCAGTTCGAATGGAGAGAATGCTGAAAGAAACTGATGTGATGAATTATGCAAGAACACATCCAACAAAGAGCTGGTTCCTACAAACAGTATGATGCAATATGCCTTGCATTTCTAATTCAACACAGAAGCAAGCACTTCTAGTTACATGCCATCCACACTATGTGAAGAACTGTTTCCAAATGTGCACCCTTCAAATGTGCCGGGGCCCCAGGGCCATATGACTCCCATTAAGAATGGCTTCTCTAAAGGATTATTTTGAGGAACCAGAGCAAGGTGCACACTGACAGCAAGAAGGGGATGACGAGAGGTTGGAATGAAGTCTGGAACAGCCCTGTGATGCAATAGTTGCAGGTGATCTGTCCAAAATTTCATCCTCAGAGTATGAACTAACACAGATTAACTCCTTCATCAGAAGATCACTGAGTAGCCTTGATGTCAGTAGAAAAGGCATTATCAACCTCAGACTGTGATGATGCCAAAGGCTTTGAAGTCAACACCATTATTAGTTATAAAGTTGGCAGAACCAAAATCTGCATTGTCAAGAGTCATGAAGCTGACCATTAAAGAGACTGAAGGACTGAAGACAGCTTCTTGAAACAGAGGTGGAGTCAACGTTAAGAGATCAATTTAAGGCCACGTAGTCTACTGCTTTAAGGTAGTTTTCCAAGACAAACAAGCAGATCTTAGATTGCTGATTGCAAAGGACCTGCTTCACAGACCTGAGACAGTTTTTGAAAGAACACATTGGGTACTTTTAGTAAACAAAACAGACATTCTAAATAACAATTGGTTGGGGCAATGTTACCTTCACAGAGGGTTAAAATATTGAAAATGATGTTAAAAAGGTCTGATGCACTCCTTGTGGCATGGCAATAAACTAAAATTTTCTATTACAAAAAAAAAATCAAATTCCATAAAAACAAACAATTAACTAGCCATTTAGGATAATTATTCACAGAGGAAGAGCTACTCAGAATCTGGGGAAAAAGGAAAGATGATTCTTCAAAACTAAGGAACAATATTTTAAGTGCTGCGTTCATATCATAAAGAAAAGAACTGAGAAAAGGCACAAGGAACTCAACTGTGCACTTGCAGTAAGGATATGACAACAGGATTCCTGCTGAAAGTCTAGCCAGCTCTGCAAAGTCCTGACACCCTCTGCTCAGAGGAGAACACAAGTCTAGCATATGACAACCCACATGGGTAGGGCCGTTAACATGTTGGGACATGTCCAAGGAAGCCAGGGTTTCCAAGAACTCAAGAGCCAGACTGGAAACCTCCGCCTCTGTATGGATGTTGAAATCACCCAAGATGAGTAGCCTCAGGGATCCCAACAGAGTGGTGGAGACAAAGTCTGCCAGCTCCGGTAAAGAAATGGCTGGATTGTGGGGAGCACGGTATGCCAGCAAGATCCCAATATCGTCCCTGGCCCGAATCAACACGTGGAGGGCCTCCAGACCGGCACCGCTACAGCAGAGGGCCTAACAACCTACAGAGTGCTTCTATAAACAATGGCTACATACGCAACGATCCCCCTGGTCTACCCTGGTGTTGGACAGCATAACTGGGAGGACAGGCAAAGGCTAGAGGCATACCCCCATCACTGCCCATCCAAGTTTTGGTTATGCATGCCAGATCTACATCCTCCTCCAAAATAAGATCGTAAATCAGCTGGGACCGACTGGATACAGATCTGGCATTCAACAACATCAGTTTTACGGCGGAGGGGCGACTGAGCCGGCTACCTTGAGGCTGACAGGTGGTCACAGACGGTGGAGGGGCGACTGAGCCGGCTACCTTGAGCCTGACAAGTGGTCACAGAGCCAGAACAGTGGACAGCCTTTAAACATCTGTCCACCGTTCTTCTGGAATGAGTGGCTACTGTGCCAGCGCCATATCTCCCTCTACCTGTAATCACCCGGATATTTAAAGGACCCCCGCAAGGGGGGGGGCAAGCCTTTCACTCCAGTCCAAAAAAGAAAAAGAAAGAAGGGAAAAACAAAAGAAACCTAATAAGTAATGAATGAACAAAATTAATAAAAAGTAAGAAAACAAGTTAAATTAGCAATTAAACAATTTAAACTGGTATACAATATAAGATTAATAAAAATAAATTAAAGGAAAAATAAAAAAACAAAAAGAATGAAAAGAATCAGTCTCACCCTCATCATAAGGGAACCCAAAGTGTCTGACCATCTCAAAATAATGTAATTTTAAAAACTGTAAGTTAAACATTACAAAACAATTAAAAAAACTAAAAAACAAAAAGAATGAAATCAGTCTCGCCCTCATCATAAGGGAACTCAAAGTGTCTGACCATCTTAAAATAATGTGATTATAAAAACTGTAAGTTAAACATTACAAAACAATTAAACTACGTGCTAAATAAAATACAATTGAATAATTAAAAGCAAGTAAACCTTTAAAACTATCTTAACCTTAAGAAGGCATTCAGGGACTTAATCATGATTGTTAAAAGTCTGCCTGAAAAAAACAGGTCTTCAGATGTCAGCAGAAGGACAAGAGGGAGGGGGCCAGCTTGATCGCCTGAGGGAGAGCATTCCATGCGGTAACTGCCACAGAGAAGCCCTTCTCTTGTGTCTCCATCAGCTTTGCCCACGCTGGCAATGGGACCAAGAAGAGGACCTCCTCTGACAATCTTTAAAGTCAGGAAGGCTCAGATATAGTCCTTCAGGTAGCCTGGACCCAAGCTGTATAGGGCTTTACAAATAATGACCAGCACTTTGAATTGGGACTAGAAATGGATTGGTAACCACTATAGTTGTAGCTGGGGTGTTATATGCTCCCTATAACTGACCCCAGTCAGCAGTCTGGCCGCTGCATTTTGAACCAGCTTATCCAAACCATCTTCAAAGGCAGCCCAACACAGAGCATGTTATAGTAATCCAAGTGAGATATCATGCATCGCTATAGCCAAAAAAGACATCTCAAGGAATGGGTGCAGCTGGTGCACTGTTTTAATTTTGCAAAAGCAGTCCTGATGACAGCTGAAACCTGGGCATCTAGACCCAAAGACAAATCCAGGAGTGCTCCTAGGCTCCTAACCTGAGTTTTCAAGGGGAAAGTAACCCCACTGAACACAGGTTGTATCTCTACTACCTTATCTGCCTTCCAATTGACCAGCAACATCTCTGCCTTGCTTGGATTAAGTTTCAGTTTGTTTACCCTCATCCAACTGATTTTTATTTTCCTCTGTTGTGATGTTCATGAACACTGCAAGTATAATGGGCATGTTTTATATAAAGTAAAGGAAGCCTGACACATTATAGTTGTTGCAGAAAAAACTAGCATCACACTACTTTTCCCCACAGCAAATACATACATGTATTATTAACCAACATCCTATTGTGCAGCTGTATTTTGTGCAACTCGAGGTTGCATGAACGATACCAACACTAGCATTGAGGCGGAAACACTATCCCCAAAGTACTTTTGCCAGTTTACTATGCAATCGATTGTGCCAGGAAAACATGACTGCCTGCCTGCCTACATAATGCAACTCCTCTTTGCCAGATGTAATGTTCAACACATTTAGGCTGGCATAACTTTATGTTATGCTGACACGAACAGGATAATGGCTGCTATCATACACACATGAAGATAAATCTGCCAAAATAAGATTTCCTAGATGGCTGGATTGTTGATATTTTAAAATGTATATTTATACATTTAATATTTCACTGGCTGCAAGAAGTGCCAGTGAAATATTAGCATTTTTCACAGCACTTATTATCTTCAGAGTTGCCTGTAGATGAAATTAGCTTTTCCAATTTTCACTACAGCTAATTTTTTAAATAAAATTAGTTGAAACAGTTTATGAACAAAACCACCTCCTGCCTTCTATATAAAACAGTGCAGTAACACTGCATAATCAGAGAGCAACATCATACCTGTGCAGCTTCATATGTTATAGTTTTGGTCTCTGTATGGACTATAGGAACTTCTTTAGTTGGAATTTCACTCTTCACGTTGCTGGACACATCAGAGATGGTAACTGTCTGAGTCTTCACAAGGGGTGGCTACAAAACAGAATTTTAAAAATGAGGCACATTTAGCACCATTATATGCCAACAATATTATCTATAACCATTCTAATACTGATCTGATAGAAGCACTATGGACCCATTCTATAAAGATAAAGCTGCTTGAACCTAAGGCTGATGATATTGTCAGCCACAGCTTTTTATCTTTAATTTAAAGTTTCCTATTCTCCCTTCCCATAGGCTGTGGCTCCCTAAGAATTCCTTTATGGAAGTCTATGGGGGCCATGAGATGAGGGGTAAGGGGAGCCTTTAGTGTCTGAAAATCATCAAGTGGATTTTGGCAAATGTCTGGTTAAAAATGCATTTCCCTACTTTTCTGAAAAAACAATATGACTATTTGTGCAAACCAAAATACAGAACCTAACTCACAGTTAAAAAAATAAGCTGAATTTAATACACAGATACAGACTTATAACAAGAGCTCATGACTATGCTTACACCTACTATGTGGGAAATCTGTAGAGGGAATGAAAACAACATTTGCAAGGTGAAATATATACAGTCCAATTATTTCTATTAAATCAGTATCAGTTCATCATTATGGATATTTAAGCTTCAAGAGTAAAAGGAAAAGACAAATCAGCTGTCCCACCACCTGGTAAGCAAAAATAATAATAATAAAAGGTCACAAATGTTAGTAGAAGAACCACAGGGCATATGCCTCTCAATTACACATATTCCCTTCACCCTTTCAAAGTTTGATTGTTATGCCCTTATTAGCAGATGAAGTATTAAAAGTATTTTAGCACAACAACACTGAAGCAGGCAAACACATATTATGTGTACGTGTGTGTGCTGTGAAAGAGAAAGGTGTTTTCTATGGAGATTCCTGACTCTCATGACTACAGACCTGAAGGCATGTTTTCTCTGTTGTAAAAAATAGTGAGTGTAAAATCAGAGGATACGTTTACTAATATTTTCAGCAGGCATTTTGCCCTATTGAATAAGACTCAGAGCCTGTCAAATCTGTCTTTCCTCTTTGCTGCTTCTTCATGCTTGCATCAAGAGAAAGTATTTTGCATCAAGAGAAAGTATTGTGCCCAGAGTGGTCGCAATGACCAGATAGGCGGGATATAAATAGAATAAATACATAAAATAAATAAAAATTATTTTTGTCTCTTTAACTGAAACACCTTTGTTATATATACAAGAGGTGCAGAGGAGAGAAATAATTTGTAGAGACTATGGGAAATTAAGTATTTCAGGCCATCTACACATAATCTTTCTATATGGATTTGTGCATATGCTTGCTGCAGTGTTTGCAGATTGATTCCAAAAACAAAAACAAAAAAACCCGTAGCCAAGAAGACTGCAAAAGAGATTACATATTCTGAGTTTACATTTACTACCTGGAAACAACGAATGAGGGCAGGGAATTCATTAACAGTATCTGAGGTGTGACTTTCTCCATTTATGTCTCTAAGCGGCTTGCTTGTTAATTTTTCTCCTTCAACCTCACAGGCTTCCTCCTCTTGCTCATGGAGGTGTAGTGGAACAGGAATTGTACAGATTTCCACCTCAGCCTGCTTTGAATCCTCAGCCTCCTTTTCCACATCTGAGCAAAATCCCTTCTCATAACTCAAGTCTTCAGTGCTCTCAAGGAGAGCATGGGCACCCTCTTCCTCCTGCTCTTTGCTGCTTATGGAAGAAGTGTCAGATTCCTGAGTTTGTGCCGATTCCTGTGCTGTTGACACTTGGTTCTCACTAAAGCCTACTGAGGGCTCCAAGACCTCCAATTCAAAATGAGAAGTCATATTTTCCCCCTCTGCCACCTTTGTGCCGGCATCCTCTTTGAAGGGAGAATCACACATATTCTAAAAAGAAATGAATGCACAAAAAAGGCCAGAAAAGGTTAGCAAAAAGGGTGTGTTACATTGAGAAATGCAGCAAAGTTGAGCACACACCTCATGAGAGGTCCATATGTAAACCAATGTAACCAGAGTGACAACTGAAGACCAGCACTCAAAGTTCATTTAAAATATGGAAAGTACAAGTAGCCTGATGCAATGTTAATCAAAAGCACTGCACAGATAGTAAGTCTTCCATGAACAGGATGGAACAGCTTATCTCTCCTTCTCTGTCAGAGAAGCATGCCATTGATGTGGACAGGGTCACTTCAACTCTGTTCTGTAGCAATAGTCACTTTGACAGCACTTGTGCCACTGACAAACTGGGGGACTGGATGTCACTGGACCTCTCAAGCTACTTGGCTGCATCTCTTACTTTCTTTCTAGCCGCAGGACAATAACACTGTTATTAGGTTAGGTTAGGCATCCTTCAGTCTCGAGAGACTATGGTAACATGCTCTGTATGAGTGTTCTCTCCAGAGCACGAACCCTGGGTAAAATAATATGGAAAACAGCATTGCATACACCTGGGGGGCAGGAAAGTTCTAGGGGTCAGATCATATTTCCACACTCTTAGGGAGCAGGCCGGGTAGGTGGGGCTCATCAGCCTTGGAAGGCAGCCCATCTAGGAGAAGGAAAACTCCGATTTCAAACCTCCACTGCCTTGTGGCTATATCCACTGATGGAAAAGGCTTCAGGAGTTAACCTAGAGGCAAAATCTGGAGCCGGAGTCCCAGAGGCAGTTCGTGTCGTTCTGGCAACTCCTGTGACGTCGCTGGAACCAGTTGTATTGGCTATTGCCTTTCCATTGGACTATTTCAGTGGCATTAAGAGGGGGCATTTGCTGCTTGGGTAACACTGTTATTGGAGGCTATATATTCAGAACTCACTGCTGGTGCCTTTGGAGATCAAGAACTTCAGTACCAGACTGATGTGATTTTATCTCCTCTTGGGACTTTTAAGACTTAAAAGGAACCACAGGGGCTTCAAACTGGATCTTGGATTTTAATCCTGGGGGAGTGTCTGTTAACACTCTCTTCCAAAGCACATTCTCCAAAACTCTTAGTTGCAGAGGCAAAAGAAAGAGTGGTACTTATAATGCTACTTATCTTCCCACTACCATCAATTCCATGCAACTAATAGCAGTTTGCGGTATGGGAGTTATACTTCGGAAAATAGTATAAGAGAAAAAGGTCAGCAGAATCACAGTCCCAATTTATTCTTCACAGCTGTTTGTAAGCCCTAAAAAGCACCACATCTCGCTCGGTCCTCACAGGCAAAGGAACTGTACCACATTCTTTGCACTTGGATTAAATCTATTTCTAAATTAGGAAATCCTCCTACAAAAATGAAAATAGGCAAAAGTACATTTTCTGAGTCAAGAACAATTCTTGCTTTAAAAAGTCTTTTCACAAGGAAAGAGAAAACAACAAACATCTGGATTCTCACCAAAATGTATTTTGGAAGCAATTCACATTTCTTATGGCCAAGTTCTGATGAGTTAAGATACACATTTGTATGTACAACTCTAGGAGCCACCTTGGTTGGTAAAGTTCCTAGCGTATTAGAACAGACCTAACTTTACAAAATACTGTACAGCACTGCTTTGTAAGAAACGTGACCTCACAGATTTTATACCAAAATAAGTCCAACCAAATCAAATTTCAAACTCAAAAATCACACTATAGCATCAGCAAGACACAATCCCACCTGTTCGCGTCATTATTTGACTATCTGTTTATCTGAATATCACATCTGACTGCAGAAATGCTAGAATTTTCAAGTGGTAAACCCCTTGCAATACCAGATTTTTAATCTACTGAATGTTTACCACAAGGTCTGCAACAATATAAAGATAATGTGAAACAAAGCAATCCAGACTCCCTAAAAGAAAGCAAGTGTGTCTGTAGCACCTGAAATACTTTGGAAGACTGTGCCAAGCCAGAGGATTTAACCAAGGCTGGTGTTATTCTGTCTTCCATCGAGCGCCTGTTAGATAGTTCTCAACTAGGTCTTCATACATCTCTGCGAGCCCTCTAGCTAGAATTTGAAGGAAAGGGACAGTAACAGAAGAAAAGACAAGAGTTAAAAACATGCAGAAGACCATCAAACGTGCACAGCATTAGGCTACCCCAACTGCCCGTTGGATAGGAAAAGGTGAAGATGGGGGGAGACTCACAAATCCAAAGTTTGGACTTCAGTTATAAAAGATTATTTTGTTTTTTCTGTTGAGAGCAAAGATTTGTTGATAGAGGCAATCAATGGAATTAATAGTGGTTAAGTTCACAGTGGAGAGTTATATAGCAGCAAACTATAAAACAGCTGTTCTTCATTTTACCTTATTAAATGAGCAATGTGAAAAACTGCAAGATAAACTACTATCCAAATTAGGAAAGCACCATTCCTTTCTGACATGAATAGTATAGGTTACTTACTTCTTTGCTATCTGCAAATGTGTGTGGACTACCCAAAGACATGCAAGGAATGCGCCTGCACATGGGTGCACATCTGATTCATTGTTTCTTAGGTACAACTATTACATCTCAGAGTCACCTGGAACATCATGTCAACTTTTGTTTTTCTTACTGGCTATTATTTGCAAGAAGGGAGGCTATATTTAGACCTTATATACACTTACTTGGAAATAAATGCTATTGGATTTGGAGAAATGTTTATTCTGTATGTTTATTTAGAATATTTATAGGGTCAGGTCTTTTGTCTTTAAAAAAAGACTTCAAGGTGGCTTAGAAAAAATAAACAGCATGAGAACATGGGTTGCCCATGTTCTTGGGCAATCAATTCCCTAAGTTAAAAATTCTTTCATAAAACAGCAATTTATTTTATGGGCACTCCAAGGTTGTCTAATTTTTTTAACTATACATAAATCATAGAACAAATCAGGAGACAATCCTCCAAAACAGGAATTCCAGTATAGACAGTACTCTCTGCTCAACAACTCCACAGGCACAAAAGGGACATTACAGCTGCTTTTAATTAAAGCTTTCCTGCTTCGATTTCAGGTTGCACATGTCTCATTGCAGGCAAGTCACAGGCAACCCTAAATCTAAACAGGAACACATCAACTAGCAGCAGCCTGCAACAGATGTTATTCCTGTTGTGCTATCAGAGCTACAGAACAGAATATTGGCCTACAATAACCAAATCACATGACTACCAAATGAATAGTAAATTGCAATTGGTACTGACAGTACTACCCCTCTCTCTGGCTAATATACTGTATATCCCTGATTGTTTTAAAACAGAAGAAACTAAAGAAAACTTGGGAGTTACAAGTCACTAGGCAGAAAAAAACTATTCAGAACTGCCTTGATTTAAATATCAGTATATTGTGAGCTGCCCGTTTTGTGCTGAACATTTAGGTAATCTCCTTCATCCTCCATGTTATAGCTTCTGATATGCAAATATATGGTTATTTTAGAAGTATAGGATTTTCATATAACACTCTTTATACTATCTAGCAGTCCTCCTCATAACAACCTTTGATACCATGGCATACTAGTTGTGAGCTATACCATAAATGTTCTCTGTCTTGGTTTTACAATATAAATTTTCTGACTTCCACTGCTAGTCATGCCCTAGTCAAGGTGTCACCTGAATCAATACTAAGAATTCTAAACCTAATTCTCGCTCTGACTTTTGAATGAAGTAGGTAGATTCTTTGGGAATAATGGTGGACATTTGCTAATGGACTGACTCTGTTGCTTTAATCAGCAATAAATCAGATATTGAAAGTATTGAACAAACTGACTTCAGGAGAAGGGACTAAAACCTTATTTTCCTTTTTTAAAAGAACTGAAGAATGTTCATATTTCTTGTGTTCTGATTGCATAAGATCCCTTTATGAAAGAGAACTTGGGCAATATTCTACACCTTTGCTGTCCTCTCTTAGCTCAAGAAAAACTCTTGAGCCACAAAACCAAAATATTTAAACAGCATGAGATTCAATTATCTTGAACAGCAGCAACAAATTTAGCAACTGCTACAGAGAAATAAGGATTTTTATCTTCTAATAGTATAGGGACAAGGTCTCCAGAGAATGGTGTTTCCAATAAATCAAAGATTTTAAAAAGTTTCTCGCCATTGCATAAAAACGGCAGGACACAGGATATGTGAAGTATCCAGGCTAGTGCCGTCACATGGACAAACTCTCTCAAGAGTATGATTCTGCACCACAATGCAATTTAGCCTGGGAATGATGGCTGACATATACATAGTAAAGTGACATATATAAATCAAAACTATTATGAACGTTTCGTATATTTTATGCCTAGAGATGTCATTTACAATTTTCAGGAGACTGCGGAAGTCTTTAATGTATGGATCGCATTTAGACCACACAATATAATCTCTTTTTTTGTACCAACGCATCCGTTATTCGTACTTGAACTGAAAATATATGATCCTAATGAGCTTTCAATGAAAAAATAGTGGATGGAATCCTGTTTATCTAGGCACAACATAATGTTATGCTTTAGTAAATGTGTCTGGCCATGAGAACTGCCTAATTCAATTGTGTAGTCAGTCATGTGTTTCCTGTTTTGACTGAATGTACCTGTAGCAATGCTTTGTGAATAGCGCTTCTGTATTTACACAATGTGCACTATCACTTGTGTAATGATGAGTTATGCAAGAGCAGTTACTCAACAGGATTTGAGCCACTGGGACACAAAAAACTCCAAACACTAAAAGCAGTCAAACCCAATATGCTCTTAATACTTTTAGATGCTGAAAATATAAGGTTCATTATGCAGATACCTCTAAGATATCATACCACTGGTTTCTGACATACATCAGCAAATAACATTGCTGCAGTTTTCCTAAACCCACATGCATATACAGCAAGATGCAGTGTTTAGATATCTCTGGAAGCCACAGCCTGTAGGCAAATGACTAATGCCAAACAGTTTGTCTATTACTGGCCAGAATCCTGTTCATTTTGGGGTAAA